GTTGGGAAAATATGCAGGTTTATCGGTAAAAAGCGTTAGTTTTCCGATTCTTACGGAATCAGTTAGGCGACTAAAGGGTGTATTCGATAAAAATGGCACACCGAAAAATGGCGCACCGAAAAATGGCACACTGTAACTTTTGAGCCGTACCCAGACAACCAGAATGCACGTATTTTCAAAGTTGTTTCTGTGATATACAAACAATCATATCGTATAGAATGCAAAAATGGGCTTATACCTACAAAGGTGGAGGCCATATACGTGCAAATTTTAATTTCTTATTAAACGAGTTGATTTGGCATCATATACGATTTAATCTGTCATAACAAATTCAATTTTAAAAGCCTTACGATGTAATCCGATTTAATTTGTGGTACAGTACGATGGAAAAATGATTCATCGCATATAAGTCGCAAATTTGCATTCTATACGATTTAATTTAAACACAATGCGATGTATGTCATACTTATATGCGATGTTGACTTAAACTGTAGTTATTTACGATACTTTCTGTACATTGTTATGCGACTTCTGGTTGTCTGGGTATGAGTAAAAAACCTGAAAATTTGAGTAAATCTTATTCATAGTGTATTGTTTACATCTGTTTTATATTTATTCATACAGTAGTTCCAGTCATGTCGCCGAAACAAGAAATTATCCGTGAAAAAAAATGTGTTTACTTACAATCGAAATTCAAAGGCGTCCCACCGATGGATCGCTAAATAGCTTGGAATTGCAAATACAACCGAGGGAGACGACTCTATCTACGATGCAGGAAATATTGTGTTTTGCTGTGGCTAGCTGCGCGTACGCTGAGTAGATAGAAAGAAGATTTATCACGAATTTGAAGATTTCCTACAAAAAGATGATGCGCGATGCAAGTAGATGCGAGAAATGAAAGAAGATTTTTCGAAGATTTATTCGCTAGTGTGAGATTTTTTGAGTATCGCCCCCCTCGAATACAACTGTGTCTCGTGTGATAAGAAACTTCAAGGAGCGGAGTGCCCGAAGCAAGGAAGGGAGTGGTCGTAAAAGTGGCCCAATGGATAGTAAAATGGCCAGGAAAGTGGTGCAACAGTTCAAGAACCGTCCAAACATATCAATTCGAGATGTTGCTGAAAAGTCCAAGATCTGTTTTGTGCAGAAAACCATGAGGCGTTCTGGGTTACATGTTTACAAGGTGCAAAAAGCCCCAAACTGTAATGAAAAGCAAAATTTCACTGCGAAGACCCGCGCCCGAAAATTTTACACGAAGTTGCTCACCAAATCGTGTTGCATCGTGATGGATGACGGAATCTACGTCAAGACCGACTTCCGTCAAGACCGACTTCCGTCAACTTCCTGGGCAAGAATATTTCATTGCCAAGTCTAAGGCTGTGTTCCATTTGGTCAATTTTCACTTAAATTTGACAGATGGAAAATTTTCAAATAAATCTGCTATTCCAGCAGACTTATTTCTGACAGACAAGAAATCAATTTTGACATACATCTTCTCGAAAATCGGACGATCAACAACAGAGGGATTATCGAACATCTTAATTTATTTTCGAAGCGTCAAATTTAAGTGAAAATTTACCAAATGAAACACAGCCTAAGTTTGATGTTCCGGAGGATGTTCGAAAGAAGAAATTATCGAAATTTGCAAAGAAGTTCGTGATCTGGCAGGTGATTTGCGAATGTGGTGAAATAAGCGCTCCCTTCATCACTTCCGAAACAATCACCGGTGCGATTTATACGGAAGAGTGTCTTAAGAAGCGTCTCTTGCCATTCATAACGAGGCACAAAGGATCAACTTTGTTTTGGCCTGATCTAGCAACCTGCCTTGCCACTACGCTCGAAACGTGTTGGAGTGGTACCGAGCCAACGGAGTCAATTTTGTGCCAAAAGATATGAACCCACAAAATTCATTGAATCGTCGCCCGATTGAAAAATTCTGGGCATATATGAAGAGGGAAGCAAACATCCCAAAACTATTATAACAGAGCTGGAGCAAGGCTAGCAAATGTCATTTTAATGAAAGATCTCACGCGATATTTACAGAGATACTCCTGTCACTATCATTGGATGAGAAAACGATTATAGAGATTTTCTTCAAAATCTCATCGATTTTTTTGTCATGACAAAAAATTCGATCATCGTAATTACTAGCTCATTTAATGTTATTAAAGTAGCTTGCACCGAGGAAATATTATTAATATATTCACTCTACCGATAACATACGGTTGTTTGTTTAAATTCATCTAAATCAGTTAGAAACGTTGATGTCAAGACCCCATAAGAATTGTTCTCATGAGTGCTTGAACATTGGAAAATGACAAGAAGTCTCGTGATAGGTAGTTTCGTCTCGTGATAGTGAGAGGACCTGTTTTCTCATTGTCACATGACGGCCGTGATATTTACCAGCTCTGAGCTGGAGTTGAATACAATTTCGGTAAAAACAACAAAAACACTGGGAAAATCGGTTGTACAAAATTTGATGGGGGGGGGGGGTAATTTGGTGAGTTAATATGTATGTGCCATTTTTATCGAATACACCCTTTAGAAGGTTAGGTTAGGCTTCTTTATTAAAGAGACTTTCAGCCATTGACTGGTTCGTCTCTGGGGATCTCTGAGGGGGGTCCCGGGAAGGAGTATGAGGCCCCATAAGGGGGTCCCCCTAATACAGAGTTATTTAAAACAGAGTGTTGTATGCTGTCTAGTTTGCTGTCAGGAAGGGTCAATGGTTCTTTGCGGGTTAGTTCTGGTTGTGCCGTTGGTCTGTTGGGGTCAGTAGTTCGGGTTTTGGAGTAGCGATGGTGCGGATGGTCGGTCCATGAGGGTATCACCAGTATCAGAGGTCCGTTGCCGGCAGCGAGCACCGAAGTGGTAGTTGTCAAACTTGGTGGAAGAGTTCTGCCTCTTTAAGACAACATAGTAGAGCAGCGGTCCGGCTTGCGTCAATGCTGAGCGTGTCTTTTACACTGCTTGGAATTCCATAAAGTTCTCTTGCGCCCTGGTATTGGGAAATGCTCAACAGAGTGTGTTTCCACCTAGGTTTCCACTGAGGCTGTGGGAAAGGCGAGTGTGGCCAGATCTTCGGCGGGAGAGGACAATTTTCCCGTGTCTCCTTTGATTTTCCTGATGAAGAGCTCGCGGGAGTTAATCCAGTCCCTATTCCAGGCTTCCCTAGTGATGCTAAAAATGGGCCTGGGAGTTTACGCGTGTATAGGCACATATGTCTACCGGAGGAGGCGAGGCGATCAGCTTCCCACATTGCCTTGAATTCCGCAGTGGCCGGGTTTACAGGCGACAGTAGTGCCATGTGGGGCACTCGAGAGGATGGCCTGTATCCATGGGTTAGTGGGCTGTTCAGCATCAATGGCGGCTACAACACTGGCTGAGTCGGTGAAAAGGACGATTGGTTTGCTTGACGGAGTGGAGATAACAAAGAAAGCGGCGGCGGCTTCAGCCGAGAACACGCTGCACTGGTCTAGGACGCTGGAACAAACCCTAGCTTCGTTGATGGAGATCCCAATGCCGACTTTACCTTGGGAAGGTGATCCGTGAGAGTAACGTAAGCTATATCGTTTGTATCGGTGTTCGATTAGGTTACGGTGGGTCTGGATAACGGCAAGAGTGATGGAACCGGCCTTGAACGTTTGTTTCATTGTCTGATCGATGGCAATTTTGGGCAAATTCCAAGCCCTGGCTCCCCACCAGTGGATCCTGGACACTCCTTCGCTAGAACCCGTAGTCTTCTCAAGGAATCCAATTGTCCGGCGGCAGATGGTCATGTAGATAAGTCGGTCAAAGGGGAGTATGCCGCCCTCAACGTAGGCAGCTAAACCAGGAAAGTAGATCGGAGGTAATGTGGATGGCCCTTTGATAGACAGTAGATAGTTTTTCTACCAGGGTCGACCGAGACATGCACGTGAGTTCGATCCCGTCCGTAAGCCGGGAGTCGGTGATCGCCTTGGCGATACGGATTCGTATGTGTGCCTATTGCTGTTGGGATGGCGTCTGGTGAGGGAGCGGAGTAGGTTCAGTCGAGTTTGGCAGTTGGCCTTAAACTCATCGAAGTGGGCCTTGAAAGAATAAAGGCTGCGGTCGAGTCACACTCCGAGGATTTTGACGGTGTTTCGTTGCGGTATAACCTAGGGATGGGTGTGGACAAAGACCGGTGGCCATGGGTGTGGGTGAACGAAATTTTCTCCGCTGACAACTGGAATCCGGCACCTGATGCCCAACGATGCACAAACTTAACGGCCTGTGCCAGTTTCGTCCGGAGGATTTTGATAGTATTCCTGACGGCCATAATGCCGATATTGTCGGCCTAGACGAAAATAAAAATGCCCACTGGGAGATTCGACTAGAACGTGATGTTTTTTAACCACTGTCTTTTTTAAATCCTAAATGCCTATTGATGCATTTGACACCATTCAATATGGCTATCTAAGGAATAAGCTAGAGTAGTTGAAGCTGATGATCGATATCTGCCACCATTTTGGAATCCAAAATGGGGGGGATTTAGCTCAAGATGATGGCTTTCAGAAAATATTCGCATTCGCAATTGGGGGGAAATTCGTTCAAAATTGTGGCCTCCAGACATTTGATACCAAGCAATATTTATATCCACGGAATATGCTCGGCGAGCCACTACATATTAGTTCGATAACGGATATATCCATAATACGTGGTATCTGTTTTTTTTATAGAAACCGTAAGATATCATTTGAAGGCATCGATTGCCTTCATACTTGCCATGAGATTAGGTTTTGATAAATATTCAAAGAGTTTAGATTCTAAAGATTGTAACTTCAGTTGATAACCGTTGATTGTCGTCCAACTAACTTCACTATCGGTGTAACGAGTGACCTGTCTTGACCATTACTAACATCCCATCAATGTTTTGCCAGCTCGCTGTCGATTTTGCATGCTGGGTTCGTTTGTTCCAAGCGTGTTCACATTATCCTACCAAGCACAATCTAATAACTTTCTTCTCCATTCCAACAAAATCACAGCAAGGACTTGTTTACCGGCAACCAGCGCCCGCAGCAGGAGATCATCAACCAAAACGAAACGGTTTCATGCTACACATCACGCCGCAATTCGACCACATCCAACGCCAACAGCGAACCGCAGGAGGTGGCCCCGCAGTTTGTGAAATTTGCCCGCGATTCGTCCAAGTACTGGTACAAGCCGAACATCAGCCGCGAGGAAGCGATCACCTTGCTGAGGAACGCTCCACCGGGAACGTTTGTAGTGCGCGATTCAACCACGTTTGCCAACGCCTACGGGCTGGTGGTTAAGGTGGCACATCCTCCGCCAGGGGTACAATCGAAGGGACCGAACAGCGAGGAACTGGTACGTCACTTCCTGGTGGAACCGACCATTCGGGGTGTCCGGTTGAAGGGTTGCGCGAACGAACCGGTCTTTACGTCCCTCTCGGCGCTGGTCTATCAGCATTCGATTACCCCGCTGGCACTTCCCTGCCGGCTGCTCATACCGGACCTGGTGAGTCTTTAAGATTGATTGGGTTGATGAACTGGGTGGTAATTTGCGCACTTTGTTGCAGGATATTCAACAAACGGACTTGCAATCGCCGGCCCAGCAGCAGCTGCTGACGCAAGGTGCCGCGTGTAACGTGCTGTACTTGTTTACCTGTGATACAGAGTCGCTGACAGGTAGGACTAGGAGACGCACCGTGGTTTTGAAGTGGAAGATTGGAGGCTAATTTGGATTCCCTTTTTGTTTCGTAGGACCTCAAGCCATAAGGAAAGCAGTGGGATTGCTACTATCGCTACGACCGCTGCCAAAACCCACGCAAGTGCACTACAAAGTATCGATCCAGGGAATCACGCTCACGGATAACACCCGGCAGTTGTTTTTCAGGTGAGACCGATTTCTACATCAAATGATTCCATCCATTACTAACTTCTGAAAATCTTTCACGAACGACAGACGACACTACCCATCCAACAACGTTTCGTTCTGCAGCCTGGATCCGGACGAACACCGATGGAGCATTCCATCGACCACGGGAGACATCCCATCCTCCAAGTAAGTACACATACACATTCATCAGATTTGGTAAACAGGAAAAAAGAATCACCACTAACCGTCCTATTGTTTTTCGGCATTCTACAGGCGCATCTTCGCCTTCGTCGCCAAGCGATCACCAACTTCGGCCGACAACCAGTGCCACGTGTTCTGCGAACTGGAACCCACCCAGCCGGCCACGGCCATCGTCTCGTTTGCCAACAAGGTTGTGCTAGGTGGCACCGGTGGCCAGCAGCCAGCACCGACGCGAGCAATCTAGAAAGAAAGAGAAAGCAATACGCAATTGAGAGGAAAATCGAGTCATTTTGTAATTGTAAATCTAACTCTTTTTTTGATAATTTATATGTATAACTCTGAAAATCCGACGCGGAACGAGGTCGGATTAAAAATTACTTCTTACATATTGGTACTACTTACTAAAAACAAATAAGAAATTGAGCAGCCACGGAAGCAGCTATAACTGCATGAAAATTTAGAAGAGATTGGGCACCACGTGTAGCATATACTTTTTAAGAAACCTTACACTAAAGTTGTGTAGTCAAGTTGAACGTTTTACACGAACTCAAACGCAAATTTACACTTATTAATTTGAAAGCATCTGTATTAATTATGTTACAACAAGCAAGCTAATAACTCTACCATGTATGTCAGTGTAATTATTACTATTATTTAGCTGAAGAATAGAACGCATGTATAAATGTACTTCTCCGCGCAAAAAAAAAGAAGAGAAAATATTATTTAACATTGAGGAAAATATTTATAAAAAAAAAAACAATAAATTAATCCGCCAAATATGTAAAAGAAACTCCACACGTCTTTTAGTTCTCTTTTCCTATCTTTTGTTGCACTAACTCCCGCATTGAAACAAAAGAAACTGACCTTTTGCAACCGATTGATTAACATTCATTTCTGCTTCTTCTGCTTAGTTTTACGTTACGCTTCCACACCGTTCTAACTAACTTAACTTAATCAACACAACCAACGAACGACAACGTACACTAACACATACACAAACACACACACACACACACACGGAAGAAGACGCGAATGCAACAAACACTCAATCAAATCACTTTATTCTTTTTTGAACAGCAGCAAATTCCCTCATCAATTTCCTTCTGCAATGCTTCTTTCTCACAGCATCAATCCTTATCTTTTAAGTCTAAATTCGTCGGTTCGAAATTACCTTTTCGAAAAACAAAAAATCTTCCTTAAGCCTTTTTCCCTTCGCAGAAAATTGCTTTGAGAGAGTTGCCAAAAATCTCGGAGTTCTTCCAGAAGAAAAAAAAAACAAGTTGAAAATGAGCAGAATATTTTTTCGCTTTGCCGTACTGTTGTCAAAGAAGAAAAAAGTGTTACGAAAACAAAACAAAAAAAAAGGATTAAACGAACAAACGAACGAATAAGTGCTGCCCCGTTGGCGCAAGCACTTATGTATTAGACTTATAAACTAATGAAAGTATTAAAACACACAAGTTAGTCAATAGTGTCAACAGTTGAGAACACACAAACAAACTTATTACATAACCTACAAACAAACACACTCACACTAACCGCGAGACAGTCAGTGATAGTTGAGGAGGAAGCTAATGAAACAAAAAAAAATAACGTGCCTATATTTGATGGCAGTGGTTTTCCCAACCACTGCTCTCCCCGGTGGAAGAAGTCGAATTTACACCAACATGAAGAAATCAGAAAAAGATATACGTGGTTGTTTTTCTATCGGTAGAAACATTCTTGGAAAAAGTTTTGCATTAACATGCACGTAATCATAATAAAAAAAAACAAAGAGTTTCATAATATAAACGTTAAATATAAATTCTATCGGCAAAAGAGTCAAAACAAAATACAAGTGTTTAAACTAGTCCTGTATACTACACACATACACACACACACACACACAAAAATACAATAGGTACCTTCGATAAAAACGAAAAGCAATTGTTTATTGTCCTCATATTCTCCATCTCCCAAATTGGATTTTACGTTACTAATTTATTTAGCTGTCTTTAGTTTTGTTACTACCCCAACTCCCTCCCACAACTCCAACACAGAAAGATTTTTTTTTATAAATAGAACCTAACCTATTACTTAACAGTATACCGCATAGGCAAAATCAAAATCGTAAACCATACAAATCTTGTTCAATATAGAAAATCAACTTCTGACAAAAGAAAAACATGCAAATTTATCCGATTTACATACTTTTACATTACAATTGTTGTGTACATATAATGGCAGGAAACGTGAAACAAACTGTTCAAATAATAAACGTGAAAAATTGAATCTTGAATTAATAAAAACAAGCATATCCTTGAACTACATGTATCACAGTCCTGGGCATTGCAATTGCAGTGCTGTTACAAGATCTTCAAAATTTGATCCGTGAAATCAAAACCGTGATTTCTCAAAAGAAATCCGTGACCTCAAATACTAATCCGTAACTGTTTTCACTGTTTTGATTTTTCTAAAAATATTGGAAAAAGATATAGAAAATCTAAGAACAATAACATTTTTCTTTTTTTTTCCTCAATATTTTTATAAAAATAAAAACGTGCCGAAAAGAAAAATATATATATATATATTTTAGGCGGTAAACTTCCCCTTTAAAATACCATTTGTTTTACTACTACATGGCCTTTCAAGCAGACCTGTGCGCCACCATGCCACGCCGCCGCCGCCGATACTTTTTCACACACCGCCGCCGTGATATTTTTTGATACGCCGGCAATGGTTCGTTATTTTAAATTTTAAACCAAAACAGTATGCTGTGCCGTACAGACTATGGCTTATATCATGTAATATAGGCTGTCTTGCAATGAGCACTCATACATCTAGTTTTCACTGGAAATCCTATGTATGAGTGCTCATTGCAAGACAGCCTATATTACATGATATAAGCCATAGTCTGTACGGGGTATAAGACACCATATCAATCAAACAAATCGTTCACAAGATATATGTTTTTCTATTGATGCGTATCATTTTTGCATAAGCCCTAAGTGTTAGCCGTGTACAAAACTAGGGAACCAAATATGTAAAATGACATGTTGGACTATAACAAACAACTGTGCAAAGTTTCAACATAATCGTAGAAGGTCGATCAAAAAATTAAAAAAAAAATCGTCATTTGAAATGGCACTGCTGTACGGGGTATTAGAAGAAGTTGCGGACAAGTATTGTGCCTTTCAAGAAAAAATATACACTGTAAAAAATTATTCTCTTTTTTTTAATTCAAATTATCAAAAAAAAAATAAAATTACTCAAATTGCATATTTTTGTTAAGTTATTTTTTTACATTTATTTTGTAGTTTAGGTTAGAGTCGGTGTATAATGAGTCACGCCAAGAGTGAAGCCAAGTCTACCTATTGAACTGTCAAAGCGGCTACCTATCGTGCAAAGTAAATAAACATTACGATGCTATGAAAGGTTCACGAAAGGTATTGCAATAAAATATAAAATATAATCGAAGAAATGAGCATAAACACGCAGTGAGCGTTAAATCACAGACAAACAGACGTAACTCTTTGAAAAAGTTTTTCTTGAAAACATAGTATCTCAAAACATAGGACCTCAGTAGCGACATCTTTCAGGCTTCTCGCGGAAAACAAGCTTGCTCGCTAACTCGCAAACAATATTGCATAAAAGTTCTATAGAATGTATAGAAAAGTCAAAGTGATCCGATGCCAGCGCTGCGGCGAGTAGTTCGCGGAACTGATAATATTCAAATCAAGCGTTAAATGCGTGAACGAAGATACACAATGAAGAGTTACGTCTGTTTGTCTGTGGTTAAATTGTCATGGGATACGCTCGGTAATGATTAGTAATGAGAATTTCTACTATTTTTTGTTAAGATAATTTAACAAAATCACTGATATAATGATTTACTACAGCCGCAGTATTTTTTCTCTCGCTAGAAGTCATTTGAAGTTGTTGTAGAAGTCCTCTGTTGCCAAGTGAAAAGAATTGGAATCTTTCGAAAACCGTGATGCGAGTTCAACTGTTTTTCTCTTGGCGTGACTCACCGACTCTAGTTTAGGTAAAAAAATACCAACTGACAGTGTGACTACACCGACTCTAGTTTAGGTAAAAAAATACCTACTGACAGTGTGCATTTGCTGGGCAAATCATCCCATCATAGTGTATACGACAGATGGCGGTAGGGTTTACAATGATAAATGTTCAATGTGTTGTGTCTGCTTGTCTGTGATATAACATTGAGGTAACGTTATACCCCGGACAGACTATGGCTTAAATCATGTAATATAGGCTGTCTTGTAATGAGCACTCATACATAGGATTTCCAGTGAAAACTAGATGTATGAGTGCTCATAGCAAGACAGCCTATATTACATGATATAAGCCATAGTCTGTCCGGGGTATTAGGATAAAATCAAAACATTGAAAAATATTACGCATCACTTTCAGAAATACTTCACTTCGCAACCGATGAACCATTCTGACGGCCATATGAGTACCCAAGTAACCATATAGGCGCAATATAGCTTGTATATTCTTACTTTACTTGAGTATGGTTAGTTGGGGAATCTGATGAAACTGTCACTTCTTGAAACTCATCCCTTTCGTATTTCTTTCACTATCCTTTCGCACACGGAGCGCTCGGTGGACCAGCGACTTTGGACGTGTTCCTCGTCCCAGATCACCATGGCAATTCAATAACATATGGTGGACATCAAACCGACCAAAAAATTCGGAATCATATTAGAACCAACCAACCAAGGACGATCTACGGAAGGAAATTGCCGGTGAAGCACGGAATGAAATACGAAGCGTTAGTGAAAAAGCAAATATATTATATTAACAATATGATCCATTCTTTCTCTTAGCTGGCGAACCAAATTTTTAGCGATGAAAGCACCTCTGTGGCCAAAAAGGCTACCAATGTATTTGTTTATCGTCACGAGGGGTAAACCAAATGAAAATTTGTTTAATATTTCAAATGAATGTATTTCAGCATTTTATTTTATTTGATGACAACAGTAACATGTCAGACAAATTTTAAAATAATATACACAATGTAATTAATGAAAATAATTTGACTCTTACTTTTGTAATAAGTGCTCTATTCGCACCCCTCGATTATAATTGAATGAATGTTGCTGACCTTTTTCAACGCTAGATGGTGCGTGAAGTAATATTTTGCAGGTCGCCATTGCAACATTTGGAAAAGGCATGAATGGATCATATTGTTAATATGATATATTTGGAAAAAGTCCAAGGGATTCCAAAGGAAGCAATTAATGGCGGCGGAAGAGCAGAATATGGTGAGAGCTGTCCAAATTTTTGTTTACAAATTAAATATCAAAATTAAACTAAATACGTGCCAGGTTTCAAAAACACATTTTGAAACTGGAAGTGTATGTGTAATACTAATATCCAATTGATAGAGGTAATACATACATGTGGGGATTATTGTAAGTGAAAGTAACCTCGGAATGGGCGTGTAGGATTTGAGACGAAGTGTATAAACCTTGATTATGTATTTATCTTGATTAACGGCACGAGCGTTTAACGAACTGAGCTGAATGTTCGGCTGAGTGAGATACGGGAGGGAGAAGTAGTGCAACCATTGAAGAACACGGTACGTGAGTGCGTGCTGGGAAGACGAGTGAGAATTGAAGGAAGAAATCGTATGCTAAAACCCTACATTTGGCGACGAGGAGTAAAGGAAAACAATAAGGTAATTATTTATATTATTTGAATTGAATTCAAACAAAATAAGCAAAAAAAAAATCATAAAAAAAAGAACTTTTCGTGAAAAGGCAGAGTTTTGTGTGTGTGTGTGTGTGTGTGTGTGTGTGTGTGTGTGTGTGTGTGTGTGTGTGTGTGTGTGTGTGTGTGTATGTGTGTGTGTGTGTGTGTGTGTGTGTGTGTGTGTGTGTGTGTGTGTGTTTTTTTTTTTTTTTTTTTTTTTTTTTTTTTTTTTTTTTTGGCAAGGAGGAAACCTTCAAAAAGGCCATCGTGCCACCGCTTGACGACTGGGCGCACAGTCGCGGTGACACGGTGTGTGGGATTCTTACCGCACTAAAACCTCCTTAGACGCCTTGCCCTTTTCCCCCGGAACCACTTGTCGTATTACTTCGGAGGGGGCCGTGCATTACGCACCTCACTTTACCTCAGCTAATTAGCGCTTCCAGTTCGCTGATCGTCTCTCCAATTTGTGAGCCATTTATCTACCAGCGTCACGTTCTACTCGGTTATCCCTGGTGGTGGATACAGCCTACTCTGACGGAGAGTTCTCCCGGCTTCGGCTTTCAGTTCGCACTTGTGTGAGCACATTACTACTTTCTAGTTGGTCTTCCCGCCATTTTCGCTGCAGCGCTGACATGATATGCGTTACTGCTCTGCTGACGGCGTTAAAGGTGCCCTCCTCTCGACACATTTCTTCGACGACATTCTCCGTGCTAAGGGCGAGCATATCCTCTCGCACATCATCAAATCTAGGACATTCGAAGACCACGTGCTCTGGTGATTCTTCCACATTCCCACACTCCGGACAGAAGGGTGACGTTGTGTGTCCGAACCGATGCAGGTACTTCCTGAAGCAGCCATGACCAGACAGGAACTGCGTCAAGTGGAAGTTGACTTCTCCATGCTTCCTGTTCACCCAGGTCGAAAGAGTCGGTATTAGCCTGTGTGTCCATCTACCGTTCTCTGCTGCATCCCACTCCTGCTGCCA